GCAGGTGAGGCTGCGGTGGCTGGGAGCGGCCACTGCACTCCAGTCTGGGCGACAGAGTGAGACTCCAACTCAAAAAAAAAAAATAATTAGCCAGTCGTGGTGGCGCATGCCTGTAGTTCCAGCTACTTGGAAGACTGAGGTGGAAGAAATACCTGAGCCCAGGAGATTGAGGCTGTGGTGGCCATAAGCGTGCCACTGCACTCTAGCCTGGGTGACAGAGTGAGACTCTAACTCATAAATAAATAAATAGATGTGTATATATGCATATATATATATTTTTTTTTTTTTTGACTCTCACTCTGTGGCCCAGGCTGGAGGACAGCAGCACAACCATAGCTTATCACAGCCTTGATCTCCTGGGCTCAAGGGATCCTTCTGCTTCAGCATCCCAAGTAGCTGGGACTACTACAGGCATGCACCACCACGCCCAGCTAATTTTTTGATTTTTTGTAGACACAAGATCTCACTATGTTGCTCAGGCTGGGAAAAATCATAATTTTTTTAAGAGACAGTTTCTTACTCTGCTGTCCAGGCTGGAGTGCAGTGGCATGATCATAACTCATTGCAGCCTCAAACTCCTGGACTCAAGGGATACTCCTGCCTCAGCCTCCCAAAGTGCTGGGATTATAGGCATAAGCCACTGTGCCTGGCCAATAAGAACAATTTAAAAAAACCAATTGCTTATGCCTCACCAAGTCAGAATCTGTGAGGGTGGGGTCAGGGCATCTGTATGTAAAGCCCCACCAGGTGATCCGAATGTGCAGTCAGGGCTGAGACCCACTGTTCCCTGGTAAGGTATGAGTGACTGCAAGGTAAGGTATCAAGGACCATGTGAGCAGAACACAGATCTCGGAACAAAAGAGCTGAGTTCGAGTCTTCATGCTGCCACTTCTTAGCTGCTGGCCTTGGAAAGCTCACTGAATATTACCGAGCATCCATCCCCTCAGCACCCTAGAAAGAGGGTGACTTTTGTTTTTATTTGAGTCTCACTCTGTTGCCCAAGCTAGAGTGCAGTAGCACGATCATGGCTTGCCACAGCCTCGTCTTCTGGGCTCAGGCGATCCTTCCACCTCAGCCTCCTGAGTAGCTAGGACTACAGACACAACACCACCATGTTCGGCTAATTTTTCAATTTTTTTTGTAGAGCCGAGGTCTCATTATGCCACCTAGGCTGGTCTTTAACTCTTGGGCTCAAGCAATCCTCCCGCCTCGGCCTCCCAAAGTGCTGGGATTATAGGCGTTGAGTCACCACACCCAGCCAAGGGACAACACTGGATGTACCTGACAGATCTGCTGTGAAGGCAGAGGAAAAGTCATGTGGGAGCTCCCTTCCCTGGTACCCAGGTGGGTGCTCAGAAATGCAAACTCCTGATAGCATCAGCTGCAACCTAAACCCGCATCTCAGCCCTGTGGGGCAGAGGTTTTGTCTTATTTACCTACTGCATCCCTGGCATCTAACACTGTGGCTGTCACATAGTAGGTCCTCAATAAAAGAGAGCTGAATGAATGAATCACTATGATGGGGCTCTGAGTCTGACCTTCCTATAGTCCTGTGTGGGGATGGGGCAGCCCCATTCAGAGGGAGGAGCGTGCAGCAGACAGAGGGCCCTTCAAAGGCTAGCTCCATGCAGAAAGAGCACCACCACTCTGATGATATCTCCCTTCCCACCACAAGCCTGCACTCCTTATCCTACGGTGTGAGCTGGGGTCACACAGCATCTCGACACCGCACTGGTTTCCAGACCTGGTGCCATCCTCGGCGCTGAACCCTGCTGGGGGCTGTCCGTGAGTGGCGTCTTAGGGCTTCCTCGGCTTCTCGCAGCAGGGCTCTTCGTCCATAATCTGCAGCAGAGACAAGGGCAGAAGGCTCAGTAAGGCACCGTGACCAGCTCACATGGCTAACCAAACCATGTATCCAGAGTTCCACGTGTGAGGGTGTTCGCTGTAGCGCTGTTTGCAGCAGCAAGATACTGGAACCAAGTGCCATGCCCAGCAAGAGGGAATAGGCACGTTGGTCCCTGCACAGCCATGCTGAGAACTAATGTGCATAATGATCAAACTGGGCAGATCTATATACACAGCACAGTCTCCAAGACAGGAAATGTCATGGACAGGAAAAGTCATGTCTAAGACACGGAAGTAAGGGACAGACAGACGTGGCACGGGTCACCATTTGTGGAAAGAGGGTGGGAGTGGATATCTTTGTTGGATGGAATGTGGGCGCTCCAGGCACACCAAGTCCTGCTACCTGTTCCTCCCTGATGCCTGGACTATGAAAGGCCTAAAGTTCCCAACCACCAGCAGGTCTGCCCGTACCCCGTCCTCCCCAGGAAAGCCAGGAGCCATTTTCTTCTTCACCCCCTTTGCCCCAGGGGCTGGGAGTTCAAGCTCCCCTCTGTGTTGAGCAGCAGGGGCTCTCCTAGGAAAACACTTTGGGAATCGCTTTCTCCTCTTGTCCCTCGGTAGGTGTTTTGACTTTTGTTGTGTATTAATGGTTTGGGATCTTACCAGTCCTATGAGGCAATGAATTAGGATAATGTAAATCAAAGCCATGATGAGCTAAACACTTTACTTTTTTTTTTTTTTTTTTTTTTGAGTTGGAGTCTCACTCTATCGCCCAGGCTGGAGGGCAGTGGCACGCTCCCAGCCACTGCAGCCTCGACTTGCTGGGCTCCGGCAATCCTTTCACCTCGGCCTTCCGAGTAGCTGGAACTACAGGTGTGCACTACCATGCCTGGCTAATAATTTTTTGATTTATTGTAGAGATGAGGTCTCGCCAAGTTGCCCTGGCGGGTCTCGAACCCGCGGGTTCAGGCAATCCACTCACCTCAGCCTCCCAAAGGCTGAGCCACCAAGCCCGGCTCACTTTACATTTCTTAATCTCTCTGGCAAGCCTACAAGGTGGCCATGATTACTCCCATTTAATGGAAGAGGAAACTGTGGGACAGAGAGGTCCTACTTGCCTAAGGTTTCAAAGCTAGAAAGTGGAGGAACAAGATTCATTCAAATTCAGCTCTGCCGCATCCCCAGTTTTCTTCTTGTAACTCAGAGGTGCACTGGCCTCCCACACAAGGCAGCCTGCCATGAAGGACAATCTAACACATCTGGGGGACAGGCACCCTTGTCAGTCCCATTTTAAAGATGAGCAAACAGCCGGGTTCGGTGGCTAAGCCTGTAATCCCGCGCCTTGGGAGGCTGAGGTGAGTGGATTTCCTGAGCCTGCGGGTTTGAGACTCGCCTGGGCAACTTAGCTAGACCTCATCTCTACAATAAATAAAAAAATTAGCTGGGCGTGGTAGGGCACATCTGTTGTTCCAGCTACTTGGAAGGCTGAGGCGGAAGGATCGCCGGAGCCCAGCGGGTCGAGGCTGCGGTGGCCTCGGGAGCGGCCACTGCACTCCAGTCTGGGCGACAGAGTGAGACTCCAACTCAAAAAGAAAAAAAAAAAAGATGAGCAAACAAAGGCACCAAGAAACAAAGTGGCTTCCCATGTACTCTGCCATGTCATTCATTCAACTACCAAATCATTTTCAGTGCTAGTCCTAGGCCAGACTCTGGGCTGGGTGCCTTTCCATGACACTCACAGGTTTCCTGTGCTGCTATCTTTTTTTTTTTTTGGGAGTCAGGGTCTCACTCTGTTGCCCAGACTGGAGTGCAGTAGCACAATCATGACTGACTGCAGCCTTGACCTCCTGGACTCAAGTGATCCTACCTCCTCAGCCTCCCGAGTAGCTTGGGACTACAGGTGTGCACCACCACACCTGCCTATCTTTATTTTTTGTAGAGACAAGGTCTTGCTATGTTGCCCAGGCTGGTCTTGAACTCCTGGGTTCAAGAGATCCTCTCGCTTTGGCCTCCCAAAGATTACAGGTGTGAGCCACCATACCCAGCCTCCTATGCTTTTCTCTTAGGGCACGTGAAATCCCTTTAAAGTATGCATGGTGTGGATTAACTAAATGCAAAAATGACATAGGGGTTAGGTACTAAAGTTAAGTCACACCAAATGAAAATCAGCTATAAGCCCACATTTCCCTAAACACGTCCTTAACTTGAGGCCCAGGAAACGTACAAGCTGGGGATCTACTGCACTGGCTGCTGCTGCTCCAGGCAAGGCGGTCAAGACTCGTTTAAAAAGGAATAAAACAGGATTTCTTGTTCTCACTCTCAAGCCCTCTCTTCCTGTCCAAGTGGGTATAGTCAACCTGTGTGTTAACCAGTCATCTGCCAGGTAGTTCACGTGCACAGGATGGGGTCGCACCATCCCTGATTAATTTTAATGAAAGGAACCATTGCTGGGCCTGGAGGGCCGTCTCACCATGTGTCCCCTCCGCGTGCGAGGCGCTTCTGGAGAAGTCGGAGTGAATGGCTTTCCTTGGTGAGGCCTTCAGCTCTGAATTGGCCCCATTGACGTAGACGGTAAAACCTTGTTCCAAGTGCTCCAGTCTCAACTGCATGGGGTCCTTGGTTTTCAAATGCTTTAATATCCTGAAAGAGAAATGACGGCTTATTCCTGGTGATTTGAGAGTCTGGGTCACTGCTACCCCTTCCCACCCCCCCACCAGGAACCAACGGCTCTCTGGGGCCAAAGCCTCTCTAATTGGAGGCCAGGGGGTGTATGCCCAGTTGTTTGTCTACCAACAGCCTCCAGGAGGCCATTACACACTGGGAGAAGCAGAGGGGGAGACTGCTTGAGGCCCTGTGGGGGAGTTGCTGAGGCTCATAGCCCCTGCCCTGCGGTGGCTGAGGCACAGAGAAGGCGTGTGTGGGCCCTGCTGTCATATAGCCTGGATTTTCTGAAACAATCCCAATTTTATGCAATTTCACTTTGTGTGGATGGAGAGAGGCTGTTTGATGTGTAACAAAAAGTGGCTTAGGCTGTAAGGTTTTGTGGAGGAGATTTCACATAACACATTTACAAATCAGAAAACAGCCTTCGTCAGACCGGGAGGACCAATTTTTTGCTTCAGTGAATATATGTGTTCTCGAACACTCACCCCTGAGATTTCAAACGCCACCATTTCATATTCTAATGCAGTTAAAAATATACCAATGCGGTGCTTACTCAAGATTGATGATATGATTATCACACCCTCTAGCTAGAAGGGTCGTGGCATGAGCGTGGTCAGGTCTCTAATTTAGCTTTCCCTAAAGCTCGCCCCATGGCTCAAGCGCCCTCCTTTCCTGGCTCCTGGTACTGCATGGCTATCAACTGTGCAGCGTCCTCTTCGGCCCCCTCCACGACTGCTTCCGCTTGACACCAAACTCTCCAGCATCTTGACACCTTTAAGCACCCCTACACATCAGCTAGATTCATACACACCACCAACATGGCCACAAATGTGCATTTTCTGTAGTTAGTAAATAAGCCTATCAAATTAGTAAAACCTAATTTAAAAAAAATAATAGAGCCGGGCTCGGTGGCTCAGCCTGCAATCCCGTGCCTTTGGGAGGCTGAGGTGAGTGGATTGCCTGAACCCGCAGGTTCGAGACCTGCCTGGGCAGCAAGACGTCATCTCTACAATAAATCAAAAAATCAGCCGAGCGTGGTGGCGCATGCCTGTAATTCCGGCTACTGGGAAGGCTGAGGCAGAAGGATCGCCGGAGCCCAGCAGGTCGAGGCTGCGGTGGCCGGGAGCTGCCACTGCACTCCAGTCTGGGTGACAGAGTGAGACTCCAACTCAAAAAAAAAAAATAATAATAATAATAGCACTCACATAACAGGTGTATAGCATGTACCAGACTCTGTTCTAAATACATACAAAGGCCGGACACAGTAGCTCAAGCCTGTAATCCCAGCACTTTAGGAGGCTGAGGCAAGAGGATTGCCTGAGCCCAGGGGTTTGAGATCAGCCTGGGTAACTTGGCGAGACCTCATCTCTATAATAAATCAAAAATTCAACCAGGTGTGGTAATTCTAACACTTTGGGAGGCTGAAGCGAGAGGATTGCCTGAGCCCAGGGGTTGGAGACCAGCCTGGGTAACTTGGCAAGGCCTTGTCTCTACAATAAAAAAATCAAAAAATTAGCCAAGCATGGTAGTGCACACCTGGAGTTCCAGCTACTTGGAAGGCTGAGGCAGAAGGATTGCCTGGGCCCAGTAGGTTAGGCTGCGGTGGCTGTGAGTGTGCCACTGCTCTCCAGCCTGGGCAACAGAGTGAGACTCCAACTCAAAAAAAAAAAAAAAAGATGCCTTGTTACACTGTGGATTCCCTTGCACTGAGTTCACAGCCAGAAGCACTATCATTCATGCCTGAGCAAAGCTCACCTAGCACATGTATTTTTTTCATAAAGCACTTCACAGCCTCCTCATGCTTAGAAATCCTGGACAGTATTTCAGTACTGTCTGGGGCCAGTCTAAACAGTGACATTACCAACAAAAAGCACAAAAATGTGAAAAACGTGGCACTAGGCATACCTCACAAAGAACACTAGTTTACAGTGTAAGAGGCAGAGGTGCTGCCTGTTCTACCTTAGCTGGGAACGTGTGTCTCTAGGACTAACAATTTCTGCCGTTCTGTATGTGTCTGTGAATGACAACCAACGTACAGCAAGTATGGACTATGGGGTTACTGACAAGGTTTAGTGGATGGGCAAATTCACAGGTATGGAATCTGAGAATAATGGGGTCAACTGCATTTAGACATTAATCTTCACAACAACCCTACAGGGTAATTATTTTAGTATTCCTATTTAGTAGATAAGGTGAGTGAGGCACAGAGAGGTTAAGTAACTTGCCAAAGGTCACACCGCTATTATGTGGCAGGGTTAGGATGAAAGCCTATGCAATTTGGCTCCAGAGTCTTCACCACAACAAAGATACCTTCTAAAGCTCACAAGATGATGTTGAAACTGACAAACACAGACGTGGCTGGTAACTCACAGAACCTTCTGGGAAGTCATGCAAAAATGTAGAAAATGCCATATGTTTGGTTTTTGCCCAGTAAGCACATTCCAGCAAATTGTTCCTGAGCACAAACTCAGGGCAAGAAGATGGTCAGCGTTGAGTCGTAATAAACCCTGGAAGCAACCCAGACTTCCAACACCAGAGAAGAGGTTGCTGGGATATTATGCAGTTCTGGAGAAACTCGGGGTATCACTTGTGATCCATTCGGGGGGGTGAACAAGGCAGAATAAAAATGATACATATGAGCCGGGCTCGGTGGCTCAGCCTGTAATCCCACGCCTTTGGGAGGCTGAGGTGAGTGGATTGCCTGAGCCCGCGGGTTCGAGACCCGCCTGGCCAGCGAGGCCTCATCACTACAATAAATCAAAAAATCAGCTGGGCGTGGTAGCGCATGCCTGTAATTCCGGCTACTCGGAAGGCTGAGGCGGAAGGATCGCCGGAGCCCAGCAGGTCGAGGCTGCGGTGGCCGGGAGCTGCCACTGCACTCCAGTCTGGGCGACAAGTGAGACTCCAACTCAAAAAAATAAAAATAAAAATAAAGATACATATGTGGTAAAGGCAAAGTTGGAAAAGAGGGTGTTTGTGGGCCCAGAGTGGAAGGTGATAAATGTAAAATGAAATCAGTCATAGAGGTAGGTGGTGGCATTGTGGGTGATTTCTTTGTTTACTTTTTAAATGTTTCTTTAGCGGCTGATACATCCATCTTTTCAACAATCGTGGCAGGAACATTTATTACAGACTGCTTATCTCTTGCCAGCCCTAGAAGCCTGGAGATGCCTGATTGTTGGGCAACAACATAACACAGAGAGAAAACACAAGTAACTAAGAGACAATTTCCAAACATGGCAATCTCTGCGCACGCCGGCGGCGCAGACAATCACGGGCAGTCGTGGGCTCTGGCAGTCTCCAAGGAGAGCACGGGAGTCCAGGTCCCGGGAGCCCCTGGGGCGGGGAAGGGCAAGAAATGTGATCACCGGGGTGGAGGGCCTGCCTCAACTTCCCTCCCTGTCCCCGGATGCCCCGTTAACAATCACAGCATCCAGCTACCCAGGATCTGGGGCTGGCATTCCGTGTGTGCCTCCCCTTAAGCAGATGATTTATGAAAATGTGGATTTATGAAGCTGATAAATTAGGAGATAATTATTCAGACTCTGAAAGGAATTGCTGAAGGAACTCTTCCACTGCTGAAGTGCATCAGTAATATTCAGGTGGCATCAAAGAAAAGTGGGTTTTTTTTCTAATTGATAGCCTATTTTGCATAAAAAGCTGTCCAGGGTGCAGGGGATTGGGATAAATCAGACTCTGCTCCTGCCCCATCTAAAGCCGAGCCCTGCCCGCCTGCCGCATGCCATCCTCTATCGCTTGTGGTTGCTCTCATCCCGGCATGCTTATCTCCAGCATCAGGCACGCCACCTGACAGTAGAGCATGAATTTATCTGTGCCACTGTTGATTACATCTTCACGGGGTTGAGTGACCGGAATCCCTCTAGCCCTGCTGCAGTCTGAGCCCCTAGTGAGCATGAGAAACGCTGAGGGACGGTCTCAGTGCCTGTTTCTGGAAGGTCCCACGAGGGGCTTGGCTGGACAACCCAGTGCTCATGGCTACCGCCTATCGGATGCCCATCATAGCAGTCGTTTCCATCGCGTCCGTAATGACCTTCAGGGACACCCATACGAACGAGGAGGTAGAGGCAGAGTGTGCTGGGAGTACAGGGTGTCCCGAGGGACTGGGACTGGGACCTGGCATGGTGAAAGGCTGGGGTGGTCAGGGAGGCCTGTCCTCCTTGCAGGCCACCCAGGCAGGACCCAGATGGTGATGAGGCCGCAATGAGCTCAAGGGCAGGGGAGTGTGCTGCTTGTGGAACAACAGCCTAACTGGGACAGTCTTAGGACGGAATGGTCTCTGGTCTCTGAGCCATGGCACTGAGGGTGAGCCACATGGTCCTCAGACCTCAGCTAGCCCACAGGTCGACTAAAGGCTTCTCCAAGGGTCAGCCGTTCGGCCCTCACACAACAGGGGCTCTGAGCAAAGAGTGGTCAGAGGAAGGAGCAATGGCTCCCAATGGGGGCTCCTTGGAGGTGGTGGCATTTAAGTCCAGGATATTTGAAGGATAAAGAGGGGAGCCAGGCATAGTGGCTCATGCCTGTAATCCCAGCTCTTTGAGAGGCCGAGGCAGGAGGATTGCTTGAACCCAGGAGTTTGAGACTAGCCTGGGCAACATAGCAAGACCCCTCCCCTTAAAAAAAAAAAAGAACGAAGAGGGGGAGGGAGCTTGAGAGTAGCCTGGGCAACATAGCAAGACCCCCCCCCTTAAAAAAAAAAAAAGAACGAAGAGGGGGAGGGCAGGGGTACGAAAAGCCTGCCGTTCCACTCCAGAATCTAGTGGCCCACAGGGTGGTAAGTCCTCTAGGATGCACCTCAGAAGAGCATCTATGGAGGTCAAAGTGGAATAGCATGGAGGACAGAGCTCAGTTCTGGAGGCTTCCTGTTTCCTCAGCTTGTGGGACCCTGGGCAAGTCCCTAAGCCTCCTGGGGCCTGCTTCCTCTTCTGTCAAATGAGACTAAGAATGCCTGTGCCTCCATGGGCTGTCATGGATGCCCGGCTCAGAGACTGACCACGTGGCACTGGATCTCTCCTTCCTTCTTCCTGCCTGAGTCTCCTCTTGGGACAATGGACATATTTTCCTGTGAGTTTCCCTCAGACGACCTTTCTCAAGCGTAGCTGGATTCTCAGATCTGGTGAACAAATGTGTCCAACGTCCACCATCTTCCCAGTCAGGCTCGGTGGCTCAGCCTGTAATCCCACGCCTTTGGGAGGCTGAGGTGAGTGGATTACCTGAGCCCACGGGTTCGAGACCTGCCTGGGCAGGCGAGACTTCATCTCTACAATAAATCGAAAAATTAGCCGGGCGTGGTAAGTGTGTGCCTGTAGTTCCAGCTACTCCGAACGCTGAGGCGGAAGGATCGCCGGAGCCCGGCAGGTCAAGGCTGCGGTGGCCAGGAGCGGCCACTGCACTCCAGTCTGGGTGACAGAGTGAGACTCCAACTCAAAACAAAACAAAAAAACAACGCCCACCATCTTGAGTGTGTATGACAGCCTTTCTAACATCACCTCTTCAGCCGCAAGCACCCCAGTCTTTGCTGTCGATCCTCATATCTCAGCCCTTGGATCACCCCGCTTGCTCTTTCATGAACCTTGTCGGGTGTGATTACCTCTTCCTGCGGTTGGGTTCTCAGAATCACTAGGCATCTGCTGGGACAGGTGCTGGGAGGGTTTTCACAGCGGTGAGGTGGGGCTGTCACATCTCAAGAGCCTCCCCATTCCCCCCAGCCCGGGTCCTCTCTGGGAGTACATGGTCACTTTCTGCTTCCTCTGGCCTAGTCCTGGGGCTTGCCCTGCCACTACCCAGGAGTTCCTTGAGGACCAGTGCTGTGTGTGGCCACCTGTTTTTTCTGCTAGCCCAGCAGTCTCCCACCTTCCAGACACATCCCCTCCGACTGCTTGGGAACAGCTCCATTCCTTCTCTTACTCCATGAGGCTTAGGTGGGCCAGAATGCACTCCCCAATTCAGGAGGGTGGCCAAGGAGTGGCCAGTGGGACCATGCCACCATCCCAGACACAGGGAGCGCCTGGCAGGGAACGGATAGGAATGGGGCCTGAGCCAGGCCAAGGGGACCCTACCTGGCACATTGTTACAGTGTCAGGAAAGAAATGCTCTCCCCCCTTTGAGGCAGGCCAAGGGGCGGGGCTTCCATTGGCTGTCCTGGCCTGAAACGACTCCAACATGGGAAAACAAAGGTGGGAGAGGGAGAATGACTGATTTTGGTGACATAAGTTAAACACCCAGATCCAGCTGTGCCTGAGGCCAGAGTATCATGCTGGATTTCTTAAGTTCATGAGCCAGTGAGTCTCCTCGCTGCCTAAGCCCATTTGCTCTGGGTCTCTGGCCCTCACAACCAAAGAGCAACAACTAATATGGTCTGTTTTCTCCTCATCGCAATGTTTCCCTTTGTACTAAGGGCAGTGCCAGACACCTAGAAGGTGTTCGGTGAAATCCTGCTGAATGAATCAAAGAAGAGGCAGCTGTGTTCCTAGGGTAGCTGTGTTCCTAGTTCTGGGCAGATCCCTGCTAGGAACCTACTCCAGTGACTGCACACCCCTGCTCAGGTTACAGGCAACCCACATAAGCACCAAGTTTCATCTCCCTCAACGCCCAGTGTAAGCTCATGGGATTGTGAGCTATCTGGTCATATGACTAGGTTTCCAGGTATATTCAGTGTATTTCCACAAACCCCCTCCCTGGTGAACTCAGGGCCACTAGCAACCCTGGCAGGTTTCTTTCCTCGTGACTAATGGCATCAACCAAAATGTAAAGAAAGTATAGTCCAGCTCCACCCCTTCTTGGTTGCGAGACTTTGGGCAAGCGGCTCACGGCTCTGGGTCTCCACTTCCTTGTCTGAGAAAGGGGTGCAATAACTCTGCCTCGCTGGGTAGCATGCAGATGAGACACCTCGCCCATGGCTGGCACCTTGCAGCAGGCGCCTGAGGCCTGACCCGGCCAGAGCCCAAGAGCATTCCCACACCTCACGGGTCTCCATGAAACGGTGCTTCCTTCCAGCTCTGCTTTCTAATTTCCGGTCACGAAGACCGCTCTCTCTCAGTGACAACACGCCCCCCCAAATTTTATGGCCACTCGGTTTTGATATAGGTTTAATTGCCTCTGTGCTACAACCTTGTCTCCTGAAATTCTCGTCCACGCCACCGGCCAGTGCCTCTTTGATCGCACACTTATTGATCCCCCAATTAATGAGAAACAATTTGCTCATAAGGAACTATGACACTCTCTCCCCAGATGAGTCACATGCAGATGATTAAATGATCGCCCAGGTGTTCGGTGGCACCATCCAGGCTGCCAGGAGCGGAATAAAAACATCCTGCTCCGTGGCATTCATGATGATGAAAACCGGTGCTGGTCTAATCAGTATAAGCCTCACTGTTCTAGCTCGAGGTCGACACAGGGATGGAGGGAGAGGTGCCGGAGGCAGCCGGGTACAGAGGGCCTCAGCATGGCGCTCTGGGCTGGCCCTGGGAGTTTATCTCTTCAGAAGTTCTCCACCGGGGATGGGGCGGCTCCCTGGAGACTATCAGAGGAGCGGGTGGCTGTTGTCCTAGACACTGCGTATCTTCATGGAATTCAGTAAAATGGTTGGTAGGCAGGAATGTAAAGTCCTACAGTGCCTGCTGCTCCACAGGAGCTTGTCCCGTGTAACATGCCGCCAGGGCCCCTGTAGATACACTAGGAGCGCAGTCAGTAAGACAAGAGCTGAGTCCACATTCAGGATGACGCCAGCTCTGCATTCAGACTCTCTCACCTGCAAGACCCCAAGTCCACTCCTGTGACAAGGCCCAGATTCCTGCCCATCGCCCCTTCTTTCCCTTCCTCCAGAGTTGTGGGCCTACAGTGTTCTTCTGTTTGTTTTGTGCTATAATTTGAATTCACTACCAACATTTCATTTTTTATTTTTACGTATTTATATACTTATTTTTTTAATTTATTTTCTGAATCGGAGTCTCATTCTGTCTCCCAGGCTAGAGTGCAGTGGCAAGATCATAGCTCGCTGCCGCCTCAATCTCCTGGGCTCAAGTGATCCTCCTGCCTTAGCCTCCCGAGTAGCTGGGATACAGGTGTGCCCCACCACACCTGGCTAATTTTTAAAATTTTTTGTAGAGACAAGGTCTTACTATGTTGCCTAGGTTGATCTTGAACTCCTGGGCTCAAGCAATCCTCTTGCCTCAGCCTCCTGAAGCACTGGGATTATAGGTGGGAGCCACTGCACCCAGCCATACCAACATTTTAAAACTCAGGAGATTGTACAGCACAAATCCAGATTTTCAGCTTCTTTGGCAAACTTGGAGAATCTGGAACTGGGTCCCCTCCAACAACTGGCCTGAGCTGAGCTGCTTGGGGACAAACATTCCAGGTGTCCACTGCCCCACAAAGTTGGCTCCACTCACTGCCCGGTCCCTCCTAGCACTTGAGTTTGCAAATCCAGCTCCCTGCAAGGTTCAAGGCCTGAAAACAAACCACAGTGAACTGAAAATGAACTTCCTCAGCCCTACAAAGAAACCGTGATGACACCTCTTTCAAGCCAGACCATGATACACTGACCTTGATCACACTACACATTACACCTACTGCAGGTTTTTTCAAGGACCAGCACTCCAGAGACAAAAATCAGTCCTAACTTCACTTTAATGACATATCGACCAACTTCAAACAGATGTAAAATAACTCCACCTTTACATAACACGGCATGATTATAGGTTCAGATTTCAAGGGACTGCCAAAGCCTGTAAGATTACAGACTGCGCTCTTCAGGTGACTACCGCACAAGCCCTGCCAAATTTGGGCCCTTCTTGACAATCCTACCTTCTCCCAAGCAGAAGCAGGCAGGCGAGGGGCAGTCCTGACACGTCCAACAGTTTGCCACAGCTCAATTGAAAGATGCAATTAAACCAGTGAATGGAGAAGCAGGAGCTGGGGCTGCAGATAATACTCGGAACCTCTGAGTGGAGGGGGACTCTGCCTCTCATTCCCACTGAAACAGGGCTGGCATGCTGTTAATCAATCGAAATAGGTTTTTATTTGGCTAATATTAAGGGTGCCGTTGAGTGGCTTTGTCTTACCGGTTCCTCTGCTGAAGCAATATTAAATACTCATCATGTCTCTCATCAAAGTCTGTCACCATGTCCTTAGTGTGGCCCTGAAATGAAGAAACAGAGCAGTGTGATAGCGGAATGCAGGGACGTGCGGACTGAGCCTGGATGGTGCACACATCAGCGCGGGAGGCCGAGAGGCGGAGACCGACCTTGACGAAGGCCCAGATCCCTGGGCGCATCACTCTGGCGACCCAGAGCCCCAGAGATCCTCAGATGGCCTCACAGTCTCAGACATACACATCTTTAATCTTCTACAAAAAGAAGACGATCGGGTGCCCAGGCTCACTGCTGTTTGTTCCTCCTATGCCTTATAAAATCAAGGGCTCTGCCAAGATTTGGGTTGACTGTTTTGTCGACGCTCACTATTTAGTTATCTCAAGTGTCATAAGCAGATGCAACCCAAATCAGTTGTCCAGAAGGAGGTCTCATTTTCCCCTCGCCCTTGCAAGAGAAATGCATGTTTATGATGTACCATGCTGTCATGACAGAAACATGTGACCCGGAGAGAGAAGACCCCTTGGAGTGGGCATTCATGGTGCTGAGCCTCCTCTTCTGGCACCAGGGTTCCTTTAGGGAACCACTCAGCCCCTTCTGAGTGGCAGTTCACTGGCTTCTTCAGATGCCCTTGAAAATGCCTTTGGTCTCCTTGTGGGTCAGGTGACCTTGGCCTTGCCAATAAATGGAGTGCCACAGCAATTTACTGGTTTAGAGGTGAGCCACGACCCAAGTCAGTCCTGGGACTTAACTGATACTCTTGGAAAAGAGCTGCTCTCTCTCATTGGGTGCTAAGCTGATGAGATGCAGCCCTGGAACCGCCTGAGAAAGAAGCAGATAAAAAAGACAGCAAGGCTAGGAGTGGTGGCTCAAGCCTGTAATTCCAACACTTTGGGAGGCCAAGGCGAGAGGATTGCCTGAGCTCCGGGGTTTGGGATCAGCCTGGGCAACTTGGTGAGATCTTGTCTCTACAGTAAATCAAAAAATAAACTGGGCATGGTAGTGCGTGCCTGTAATTCTAGTTATTTGGAAGGCTGAGGTGGAAGGATCACCTGAGCCTGGCAGGTCGAGGCTGCAGAGACCATGAGCATGCCATTGTACTTCACTGGGCGACAGAGTGAGACTCTAACTCAAAAAAAAAAAGACAACAGATCCAGGAGATGAAGAGAGACAGACTGCTGATGGCATCATTTGAGTCCCCGGGGCCACTCATGTCTGAGGAAGTATCTGGACAACTCAGCTATTGCTTTGGAAATTTCAGCTGAGTTTCTGTCATCTGCAGCCAAAATAATTTTAAAGAATATATCAGAATCTGACCGTCAAGAAATAACCCGTATTATAATTTATTATGGCTTTATGGAGGAATAAATGTATAAGAAATGACACATATTTGTAGTGACACACATATACCAGTAACACCTCTTATATATATTCCTCTCAATGTTTTTCTTCATTCATAATATACAGATATACATCTACACATACAATACACTTTTTTTTTTTTTTTGAGTTGGAGTCTCACTCTGTCGCCCAGACTGGAGTGCAGTGGCCGCTCCCGGCCACCGCAGCCTCGACCTGCTGGGCTCCAGCGATCCTTCCTCCTCAGCCTTCCAAGTAGCCGGAATTACAGGCATGCACTACCACGCCCGGCTGATTTTTTGATTTATTGTAGAGATGAGGTCTCGCTGCCCAGGTGGGTCTCGAACCCGCGGGCTCAGGCAATCCACTCACCTCAGCCTCCCAAAGGCGTGGGATTACAGGCTGAGCCACTGAGCCCGGCTACAATACACTTTTTTAAACAAAAATAGGATCATACTATAAACAGTGTATTGCAGTTTGCTATTTCCTAAGTAAACTTTTTGCCAAGGAATGAGTTAAAGATACAACATCAACTTTGTCATGTTATAGCAAGTTACAGTGATTAAGTTTTAAATGGCAAGGAGGACATTAGTAACAGAAATGTGATTTGTGTGGAAATCCTAATGATTATCTAGGGAAGAAGAGAGAGGAAGAAAGAAAAGAATCTCCATCACTCTCTTCTCAAAATCTCACTTCAACTTCCTTATTCTACTAAAACTGTACCCAAGGGTGACCCAGGACCACCTTAGCTACATAGAATAGCTCTTCCCTTCATCTTTGTCAATTGCCCTGTCCTCTTCAATTGTCTCAGTGGAGCAGCTGACCACCCGCCTCTGCATGACTTCTCTTCCTTGGTGCCTGCAGTACTGAATGAACCTTCCTTCCCCTGGCTTTCTGCCTGTGCCTTGTCCAGCTAGCCTTCCTCCTTTGCTTTAGGTTGTGGACGATCAGTCTGTCTCTCTCCCTCTCTGTCTTCAGTCTCTGATCACAAGGAAACAGGGCCCCATGGATGGACAGCCCAGGCAGTCATCCCTACTCTAGGCTCACAGCCCGATCCCCCTTTCTCCTTCTGTTTATTGTAGGACCCCAGGTTGTAGTCATCTGCTTGTCCCTGAGCCCCTTCTCTCTAGATCCACTTGGGAACAGGAAGCGTACCCTCATTTTCTCTCCTATCCTGATGACTCTGAAACATGACTTTTTATTTTTTATTTATTTTTTATTTTTGGAGTCAGTATCTTCCTCTGTTGCCTAGGCTGAAGTACAGTGGCACAGATCATGGGTCACCACAGTTGCAACCTCCTGGGCTCAGGTGATCCACCTCAGCCTGCCAAGTAGCTGCGACTACAGGTACGTGCCACCACACCTGGCTAACTTTTTTTGATTTTGTAGAGACAAGTCCTCGCTATGTTACTTAGGCTGGTCTCAAACTCCTAGGCTCAAGCAATACCACCACCTCAGCCTCCCAAAATGCTGAGATTACAGGTATGAGCCACTGCACCCAGCCTGAAACCTGAATTTTACTGGGGCTTTCCTGCTAGCTAATCTAGCTAACAGGAAATGGGCAATAATAAGAAAAGGTGATATTATGAAATTATAAGAAACTTTTTTAAAAACCCACACCAGCAACAGCTTTCCCTGTTCTCTTATTGCCCGGTTTCCTGAGATGTCCACAGAGACGACTCTGCCTTCCCCTGGGATTGAGCCCTGCCTCATCGAGTACAAGAAAAGCAGCTGAAACTGGGCTCGGCTCAGCCTGTAATCCCGCGCCTTGGGAGGCTGAGGTGAGTGGATTGCCTGAGCCCGTGGGTTTGAGACCCACCTGGACAACTTGGCGAGACCTCATCTCTACAATAAATCAAAAAATTAGCCGGGTGTGGTGGCGCGCACCTGTAGTCCCAGCTACCTGGAAGGCTGAGGCGGAAGGATCGCCGGAGCCCAGCAGGTCAAGGCTGCGGTGGCCAGGAGTGGCCACTGCACACCAGTCTGGGTGACAGAGTGAGACTCCAACTCAAAAAAAGAAAAGCACCTGAGACCTCAGCCCTCGAAACAGCTGGTGTGCAGGACACTGGCTCTGGGGAGGATCTTGGCTCCTTCCAGAATAACAACATGTGAATTGCACGGACAGTTTCTGCAGCATTTTCATAGACAGGTTCTCCTTTGATCTTCATAGCAGCCCTTGAAGTGGTCATTACTAGTCCATTTAAGATACAAGGAAGCCCGGCCCATGCATCTTCGCGGAACACACATCCTACTCCATGGCAATTTACATAACCATTTTGAAATATTAAAATGACCGTAGACGTATTATGGTACGGAATGAAACATTTGATGACATTTTTAGATGAAATATGGGACTTCAAAGAGATCCCAGCTTGTGCCGGGCAGCTCTGGACTTGCACCTCAGACTCTCCAGGGAATGCATCAATTTCCTCCACAAGGAGGGAGGCGTCATCAGAAAGGCCTGAAACAGAGGAGCGCCCAGCCATCCCCGCTTCTCACCAGCCCAAGCTTCCTCAGTGCTGGCCCACACAAACCACCTGGGGTTGTGGGAAAATGCGGGTTCCATTCAGGAGTGCGGGGAGATGCCCACGTCTGCATGTCTAACAGGTCCAGGTAATGCCTGTGCACCACACTTGGAGCAGCAAGTTCCTCGACTAGCCAATTTTATTTCCCACTATTCCCATTACCCCCGCCCCCAGTCAGAATGTCTCTGAACTTGAGCTGGAAAGAACATGACCTTTGGAGTCCAGACCTGGCTCCAAGTCAAAACACTGTCTCAGTCTTTTTATCCATAAATTGGGGGTAATTTCAATACTTGTCTGGTTAGACTTTTCTTTCCTTTTGAGAGAGGGTCTCAGTCTGTCGCCTAGGCTGTAATGTGGTGGCACAATCACAGCCCACCATAGCCTCGACGCCTCAACCTCCTGCCTCCCAAGTAGTTGTAACTACAGGCATGTGCCACCACACCCGGCTAACTTTTTTTTTTTCCTGAGACAAGGTCTTGCTGTGTTGCCCAGGCTGGTCTCGAACTCCTGGGCTCAAGCAATCCTCCAGCCTTGGCCTCCCAAAGTACTGGGATTACAGGCATGAGCCATTGCATCTGACCCCGGTTGGATTTTTTTTTTCCCTCATAGGGTTCAATATAGATTGGATGCATTAACAGCAGAAAGGTCTGTACAGTGTCTGACACTTAGAAAGTTCTTCGTGAAAGTTAAAATCACAATAGAACTCCATGACAGAAACAGCAGGATCCCAGTCCCTCCTCACCTTACCCCATGCTCACTCCTAATCTGATATCTTAATCATTCTACTCCCTTCCCCAAAAACCCACCCCACCCCTCCAGCTTCCACTCAGACTCTCCAAGGCCCAGTCAGGTCCCAAAGTCCCTGGGAAGCCTTGCCTTGCTATTCTCAACAGCTGCACCCCCCACTTCAGTTCATCCTGAAACCCTGCAATTAGTATTAAATGATATACAATACAGTGTGAAACAGGATATAATTAAGTGCTAAGTCATTAACATTTAACTATAAATACTGCTCATTAATTATCTGGGAATTTGGAGTCGTGAGGGTGAGCCCTGAACTCGGCTACTTATTTCCTCTGAGCCTCAGTTTCTTCATTTTAACAAGGTCTACCCTCAGGGGGCTGTGAGGAGGACTAACTAGGATGAAAGTGGAAGTAACCTGGGACCCTGTTTTTCTTTTTCTTTTTTTTTTTTTGAGTTGGAGTCTCACTCTGTCGCCCAGACTGGAGTGCAGTGGCCGCTCCCGGCCACCGCAGCTTCGACCTGCTGGGCTCCGGCGATCCTTCCGCCTCAGCCTTCCC